TGGATTGTAGAGTTGGGCTTCACATTTAAATCCCATGTATGAAAGTGCGACAAACTTGGTTTTCTACTAGTCTAAGCTTTAAAAGGAGTGACCTTAACAACTTTTGTAGGCACTCGATTCAATATATAATTTTCATTTTTAACGGCTTCTCCTTTCCTCAATCAAGAAGGAATAGATTTGGATATATTATCCAAATTGTTAAGTTCATCCATAAATCTTTTACATCAAAATGAAAAAAAATTCGGTGGGGGTATCATATGAACCCATTTTATATGATGGGAGTTGCTAGGGTGTTGGGCACTACTCTGTTATTCGCTATTCATGGTGTTATCATAGAAAATATTTTATTTGAAGATGGTGATGGTGCAAATACATTCCGTGCTTTTAACCCAACTCAATATGAAGAAACTTATTCAATGGGAAGATTTCGTGAGACTCTGCTTGGCAAATGGGTCGATTATTTGGGACGTTTTGTGATTGTCGTAGGTCCCTCACTTTCATTACATCGATGTGGATTGCCTCGCGAAATAGCAATAGAGCTTTTTCCAAACATTGTAATTCGTGGTTTAATCAAACAACACTTTGCTTCAAATATAGGAAATCATATATACGGGTCATTATAATCTCATACTTCCTACTATTCTCCATGATAATTCTGATGTTTTTTTATTGACAAAGAGACGAAGAAATAGATTCATCATTCAATTCCACTCTCAGTACACTTGCCATAGAACTCCCCTCCACGATCAAACCTTACTACCTTAATTAGTCTTTCCAATTGTTTTTCAACCTCAATTTTGAAAATTTTAAAACTTGAGATTTTTCAGAAATTGTTACCATGGAGCTTCTCAATATTCATAAGGTTCAACATGTTAAAACCTGCATAACATTATTTTTTTTCTGTGAATTCATAAGTTTGTGATAAAAAAATGCAACATAATGTCATTGTCACACTAGAATCATCGAATCAGCATCACCTTCGAGCAAGACACTATCTATGTATAAATATGAATTCCTTAATTTTGCATAGGCAAGTATAAAAATACATGAGTACATGTAAGGCATCACCTTTAGGCAAGAAAACTTCACATAATTATCATGATCATCATCACTCACTATACATCAGGATATCAGCAATCCCAGTAAACAATTTCTTTGGAAATATTTTTACCTGTTAACGTTACATACTTCTTTATTAAGTGTTCATAATGATACTTGAATCAAGAGATTAGTCCATACACTTTGGTGTAAATCAACTAATTAATCGTAATGCATCCGCAGTGCTTAATACTATACAAGGAAAGCTAAAAAAATAATCGAATGTTTTAACGGGTATATGTAGAACTCTAGATGGTTACTTACGCAAATAGCCCCTTCTTGGTACTCCAAAGTGCAAGTCCGAGCAGGGTGCTCAGGTGTACCTCTGTGATCAATGCAGGATTCAAAAGTGGAAAATAATATGACCACATTCAGTGACAATCAAATGACTTGTAACAAATCAAAAAGTAGAACAATATATCCAATTTCTTCCTCAATAACAGAGATTAGAGAGACATACCAAGTTCAAACACACCCCTCTCCAACGGCTCTTCTCTGAAATGCTCTATGATGGAAAAATAAAAAACCAAACGAAGAGATCAGAGAAATCAACAGATCAAACATTTTCTTTTTCCTATCATTTCAGTTTCTCAGGAACCAAACAGAGCAGACACCTTCAATCTACATTTCCTCCCATAATAATAGACAATCAATGAACCTCCTACTCAAAAACTCAAATTAAAAATATCCTAATTAAACAATGTCAAAATCAAATATGCAGATATTCAAATTAAACCATAATGAGGTGTGTAATCAGATTCAAACATTTTTTTTTTTTTTATGGATTCCTGTCAAACGAAACAATTTGAGTATAGGGGAAAAAAAACCATGAAACCGTACAACCAGAAGAAGACCCAGAAATCACAAAAGAAGAATAACACAATTCTCGAAATCAGAAAAGACGAACAACCCAACTGATGAAATTGATGAAATTCTGCAGAATATTCAATTCCAACTCAAAAGAAACGGAGTGTGTGTCATAAATTATGAACACCCAAAAAATATATGACCTTTCATAACTAATTAAAAGCTTATTCAGGTAGGAACATACTCAAAATAAAGAATTTCTCAATACATACCTGTCAATTCACAAACCACAAATAACCTGGAATTTCAAATTGATAAACTGGCAGAGGAAAAGTTTTGCATCAGGTAATGAAATACTATCAGATTGAAAATATATGACTGTCTTCTTGGTAATCATTCATAGATTTTTTTTTTTTTTTTCTGTAATTAGATAAATATATTAACCAAAGGAGGGCAAAGCCCCGATCAAAAAGTACAAAGGCTAAAAGGCCAAGGCAACCATCCAAGGGATGTATACCAATTAGAATCAACCATGGACTTAGCAACCTTTTTAAACCCAATTAAAGGGAGTGTATTCAATTTGAATTTTGAAGAATTTTAATTCTTTTAATAAATTTAAGGGTATTTAATCAGGAATTTAAGTGATTATCTGAAAATCAATGTGTATTCAATCAGGATTTTAAGATAGTTTATTAAAATCCTTAGAAATCTGGGTGTATTCAATTAGAATTTTAAAGAAGTTTATAACATCCAAGTGTATTCAATTAGAATTTGATTTTAAAGAATTTGAAAAAGTTGAGAAACTATAGGGAATTAGAGAGATTTTGTAGTGTATATTTAAGCATCTACAAATCTCACATCTCCCCAAGAAATTTTGAGGGAAAACATGGAATCTTTACAAATCAATTACTCTATAAAAATCCATGAATTTATAAATCAATTAAAATATTTCAAATTCCCAATGAATACACCCTCCTAAAATTCTGCATAATTTCTTTCCAACCACACATGTAACAGGCATTTTTTAGAAAGTATTTCTACAACAGAAAATTGAGCCAAAGTGGGTGGATCCCGTGTTGACCTAAAGTAAAACTGAACCAAAATTCAATGGACAACTAAAACTTAGATGCTCTAATTTACAATCTAAGCTAATTGGAGGGTGTAGAGTAAGAATATCACCCTTGCCGGAACAATAAATGGTCGAAAAGGCCTGAAATTGGTCGGAAAAAAACTCAGAATCCCCCTAAATTTGAACTCAAACAAACAATCTAAGGTTGTTCAATTGCAAATCAAATCAAAGTGCTTCTCATTGAATTAGATTGGTGTATCTCATTACTTGATCTTTGTTCTTCTTTTTGATACATAGATGCTTAAGATAAAGGATGTCATGTTTGAACAAAAATGATTGAATGATATGTAATCATGCATCTATATCAACGAAATTAACAACGAAGACAAAAGGTTCAAATTTCTCAAACAAACAAACAAATTAAAGTTAATTATTTATATGTAAAAGGCATTACATCTATATCAACGAAATGTGAATAAGTTGAATAGACTCTCTTTAATGGGATTTTGATTGGTAAATCAGGATGTTTGGTTACATCTATATCAACGAAATGTGAATAAGTTGTGATTGTTTATGCAAGAGAAGATAGATGATGAGATTTTGATTGATGATGTAAAAAGTTGTTTGACTGAGGCACCTTACCCATCCCAATCCGTCCCAAACCAACGCACAAAATCACCCTCCTAATTTTTAATAATTGCCCTCCAATCCAGCCACTGATATGATGGCAGTGGTATAAATAAAGCAAAATCAAGTGGAAAACAATTGACTGTATCCCTCCTCAAGATAATGTATGTGGCTTCGGTCGAAATGGGTGCTGCATTTTAAATGACGTTTGTTGCTGTAAAATCAGTTGAGGAGGAGAATATAATGTTCGAACACCTGCCCAGAGACATCAAATCCACACTACACTCTATACAACCCCTCATCAAACAATATAACCTGTAAGAGGGACTGGAAAATTTTGCAATACAGAGGAGGGAGCAAATCTTGTTCAAAAGTGCAGCAAAGTTGGCCTGTGGACTTTTGAACAAGATTTGCTCCCTCCTCTGTCTGTATTGCGAAATTTTCCAGTCCCTCTTTCAGGGTTATATTTTTTTTTTTATGAGAGTGGTTGTAGAGAGTCCAGTGTTGATTTGATGTCTCTGAGGAGGTGTTGGAACGTTTTATTCTCCTCGTGCGCTGATTTTACGGCATCAAATAGCATTTGAAATGCGGTTCTGAGAGCACCAACTGCGACTGAAACCAGAGACATATTAAGCAAAACAAAGAGACTCAAAACTTAGTCAATCATGTAAGCTGTTCTTGGCTGAAGAAAGAAGAAGAGAAATTGGAATGGATATACGGAGAGAATGTAAAGTAATCTAGTTTGATGAGAAACTCAGAATGTTATGTAAGTTGTTTGTTGGTTTCAGCACACATGTCACATGTGACATATATATATATATATACACAACTTAACGAACAGGTTAGGAATTTCACCAAAATGCTAGGAAAGACAATGCGGAAGGCGAGAAGAGACGCCGAATTTTCTACCACATAAGATTTGGTATTCGCCGCCGTCGTCAGAGACGTCTCAAAGACGCTTTTATTTACTTTACTCCGCCATGTCGACTGGCTCGGATTGCAGGACTTTCCAAGAAACGATGCTGTCCAATAATTGGTTGAGACGTCGACTTCATTTTGCGTTTTTGTTTGGCCAGGGGAAATTTAAATTATATTAAGAAAGTTGATTGATTGAAACGTCGCATGTCATGATGATGCGATGTCGTTTTACGTGAATATAAATATGAATTACGAATTTATATTTGTTACTGGATAGAATAGTTGCACTTGCACCTGATCTGGTATATTTGGAGGTCAATGTATTACCAATTCACCACACTAGAATTATGACTTGTTGCTTAACTCTAGCAGTAGCAGAGGCTTAAATACGGTAACTAAATTATAATTTTGATGTTCATCATACATCACCATAAAATTTTGGTTTATATGATAACTTTATCTCCATTTCTCGATATTCATCTGTTCGAAGCTGATTCAATAATTTTAAATTTTGAATCTACGTTTGAATTGGACCATCGTTTATATACAACCACAACAATCTAGGGAAGTTGGCTAAAATGATTAGAAATTACATAGGCACACAAATCTCCCCATGCATATTGGACCCGAAAACAAGACTATGAAAGCTTAACTCATACATATTGGACTCGAGGTTCTATGAGACCAACTACTGTCTCGCTTATATAATATACAGAGAACAAATGGAAAGAGAAAGACATAGAGACACTAACCGGAAAATTAATCTGAATCAGAGGACATTTCAGAACGCAGATCCAGTGTTGCAATCATTTTAGACAGCATCTCACCCATGTCTTCCAATTCATCCTTTGCAAAGCCCCAATTTCTAACTAGCTCCGCCCCAGGTGCTCCTCTGGCAATCCCACAGCTACGAAGGCTGCCCAATCTATTCTCTAAAAATGGCAAGACGGCACTGCTAGACCGTAGCCTAGCTGCCATGGGGATGGAATGGATATCAAGTGATCCCCTTGATGGGGAACCAACAATTGGCGTGCTCAAAAGTTCACCATGTTGGCCAACAAGGTTGCCAAAGATTGAAGGAAAAGGCAAAGGTATTGGAAGAGGACATTGAGCCACTGACAGATGGCAGAACATAGGCCTTGTTATTCCATGCTCATAGGCAGCATGGACTGTGTCCTTAACTTCAGAAATTGATGCTCGATGACCTCCTGTTGAACAGAAACAATGAATTAAAATATAATAAGCATTCCACAAGCCTTGTAATTCCACAAGCGACGTTTCAATCAAAGGCCTTGTAATTCCACAAGCACAAAACTAACATTTCCTCTAAAGTAACAAATTAGCTATACCATATACATCAATGAAATGCAGTACAGTTTTAGAGTGTAATCAATGACAGTGAACGTGATAACAAGAATAAGATGGAAGAAGAGCGCAGTTATCACAAGAGCGAAATTTTTGGAGATATTTTTGCCAAGAAATATAGATGGATTTAAGTCTCTCCTGAGTTATCTTGTAACCTCTGATAGATGGTTTTAAGTCTCTCCCAAGTTCCAGTTAACAGATACCACCAGATTTGATTTCTAGTGAATAAAATGTCATGACCAAACAAAAAAAAACAAAAAATTTATAACCTTAAGATTTTAGATCTATTTAACGCCAACGCTCAAAGTTACATTGCTTTAGCCAGTAGCCACTAAGGCAACTAGGCATTCATTAAATTTCATATTCAGAAAATATAATCATTGAACAATGTGCCAAAAGTGCACAGTATGAAGTATCCTGAATGAGCATGTTTAACATTCTCAACGTACTAAAGAAAAAATAATAAAGAAAAACTAGTGCTTCACTGATCTAGAAAGTACCTGATCCTAGGGCCCCATGGACTATCATGGATTCTAATGACTGTAAATCCTCGACATCTTCTGCTATCTCTGGTGTCAATGGCTGCAAATTCCCTGTTAAATTTTGACCAACCCAATTCCCTGTTGGAAATGACAATAATTAACCAAAATCACTGCTAACAACTGAGGGTCTGATACAAAAATCGATTGAAGGAAATACCAGTTAAAGAAGGGGATGGCATTGCAGCATCCAGAATGGCAACCATATTCTGCCTAGCTTGCCCTGCTAGGATTTGCACAACCTCACTAATAGTCACAGCACCAGAAGCATAAGATGAGTCTGCAGTGGGCCCGAGTGGTTCCATTCGGAACGGAAGACTAATAGAATGTAGGGTAGCAGCATAAGCTGCACTGCAGTGATAAGGCTTTTTATCATTGATGCTGAGAAATCTTGAAGCTTTACCTTTCAAATCAAGTGAAGAGAATATTATTCCACAAGAAAGTGTAACTTATTCGAAACAGAGAAACCAAGAGAGTATCTACACTCTCGTAGAAACTGAACAGCAAACCATTGGTTCAAATGAAGCTTTTAGACCTAGCCTCCATATCAATTATGCCAATACTCCTTTTGGTGGGCCATTTAACAACCTAAGCAGAGTTCCTGACAAATAGGATGACACCAGATATCCAAGGGGACAAAGGCTCTAAAATCACAATGTTGGACCAACATGTAAAATGAATCTGAAGAGACTTGAAAATCAATTGAATGAATAATGCATTCAAGAAGTGCAAGATTTCTTACTTGTACTCAATGAGGGTAACCCGACTGGAACAATCAATTTGCATAAGGATGATAGCTTTGAAAATGAAACTGCATCGTGAAGCTTCCTACTAACTCTCTGCTTCTGGCTTCTGGGGTCCATGGAAGAACCAGGACCACGCACAGCATAGAGCAACACTGGAGCATTTGTGTATTCATCTGCAATACTCTCCAGAACATCCACAGCTAGAGGAGAGAAACCTCCTGAGTCATCAACGATGAATTGAAAACCCTGCCAAAACACAAAGACTCAAGTTTATTCATTAAAAAATTCATGTTGAACACCAACATTAAGAGGCTTATGCAAAAAAGGAGCGCTGAAAATTCATTTGAAACTGAAAATACTGGATACTACTTCTACCCTAGATGTTCAGAAGGCTAACAAAGATATACTTACCAAAGTCAGTATTAGCCTGTGCGGCGTTCAGTCTCTAAACAATTGTCCATGTAAACACAGCTTATGTAGTTTGGACAGTGAACACAATTGTCCATAACTAGAAAGACACTATTTATACATGATCAATAGAAAGTACACGTAGAGTATATTTGACAGCAAAAGATGGTTTGTATTGCAGATGAATAATTAATACAACAACAACAAAGCCTTATCCCACTAAGTGGAGTAATTAATGAAGACCAAAAAAGGAGAGTAATTTCACAAATATGTCAAGATCTTTAACACCATAACTTGAATGAAAATTTTAGAAGGACAACAAATTCACTCTTTGAATACTGTCAGCCCTTCCGACTTCAGTATCTACATATGTGAAATATGCATGTACAACAGAAAACGGGGTTGGTGTAGTAGCCGCTATACCAAAGTAGGCATCACACACTCCTTAGAAGCTCACTTAACTAGCACTAACCGACAGCTTTAGAGCGAAACTCAACCCCTCCACAAAACCAACTAAGCCAAGAAAAATGCAAATAGATCAAAGTAAAGGAGAATGGTTTGTACGACAAAATATACCTGAATATGGTCGCACTCTTCTACGAAAAAGCGAAGCCTCTCACTAACCTCTTCTCCCTGTAAACCTGCTGATAAGGACTCTCTTCCAATCCCGTAATTGTCAAATTTCTGAGGATCTACCCACAATCCACTCAATTCATATAAACTCTGGGGATGATAGTGAACTTTTGAAAAGTCAGTCCAGTACTGGACCCCATTTTCTAAACTCTCCACTTTGTCACTGTCATGAATTTCTCCTCGACAACTCTTCCCCCCAGCATTGACACCATTTCCAAGAGTCAAAAGATTCACCGGCTCTTCCTCATACAAACTTCGTAAGAACAAATTCTTTTTATGAGGCTCGGCGACTTGAGTAGTAACATTACCACCCCTACACATTGGTCCAGGGGATAATAAATTCATATATACAACAATAAAGAGAGCATATATGGTAACACATTCAAATTCACAATTTTTTAAAGCCCCAATAAAAAAAGGGTCTGACCATGTGTAAATGTTTGATGATGCAGATGAACTCTCATCGTACAACGTGCCACGTGTACTCATAGACCCGAGGGAACCTGCAACAGGCAAAAAGAATGAAAATTTACGACTTCCATACATTCTAGGGCTCGTTTGGAAGTGACTAAAGCGCTTATAGAGAAAATGCTTTTGGTTCCGAAAGCATTTAAGTGCTTTTTCCAGGATTCACTTGTTTTTTTACTAAGGATTGGTTTCGAAAACATTTTTACCAAAAGAGCTTTCAATCTTTTCAAAAGCACTCCAAACGAGCTCCTAGGCCACCAAATACACAAACCCAATTGAAGTTTTAAAAGTACCTTGAAGATCAACCGAAACGAGGCGGGGAGTGTAAGTCACAGTGCCCTGTTCATGTCAAAATTCACCAGTCTCGTAAAGAAAGTGAACCATAAGCACAACAATTGATTTAAACTGTCTAAATTGTATAAATTGAAAAACTACAAAATCTGCAAACCTGGTGCGTCTCACCAGAGCGGTAGAGCACGTCCATGTTCAAAGACTGATTCTTGAATACCGGGTCGGAGTTAGGGTCCTCCGCCAACCCAAGTAGTTCATCCTTCAAACATATATGAATATGCTAACAAATTTGCAGAAAGAAACAGTTAATGGGTTTTTGAGTAAAGCTGTACAAGTACCTGGAAGTTCCAGAAATGGGAGCCCACGAAATTTGCAAAGCTTCCAACTTGGAGAGTGACGATTTCTCTCATGGTTCCGGAACTAGAGAGAAGGGGTCGGACCGGAGGGAGGGAAGGAATCTGGAGGCAATCCTCGGTGAGTCGGTTAGTAGGCCACGCCGCCACGCAGTTCTTAACTTGGACTATTTGGGAGCGTTTGTTGAACCGGATCTCGGACTGGATTAGCTTCAGGACTACGCTGGACTGACTTAGATTAGATTAAGCTGGACTGACTTAGTAAAGCGTTTGATGCAATGTCGAACTAAAAAGAAGGATAATAACAAACTATAATATTTTATATTTTTTAATTCATATCTAATAATATTATATTAATTAATTCTATCTTTTCTTTTTCTTCTAATAATACTCTCCCTCTCTTTGTGGAAGCCTCCATCCTTTTCTTCCTCGTTCTCTCCGTCCCACACTCTCCTTCCCTTTCCTCTTTTTTTTTTTATTAACTGCCAAAAACAATTAAGAATAACAAGATTAACCGATGAGACTGAGAGACCTCCAAGTCTACAAAAGCAACGACAATTCCTCCACACCCACACAGAGTCGCAGACTCACACTGAAACCATCATATCCAAAACCGTGATCGCAGCTCCTTCCTGCAATGGATTTTGCACCGCATGATCTCGGAGGTTCGAATTGAAACGCGGTCGAGTTCGAGTTGAGCTCGGATCTTGGCGGAGCAGAAAGAGAAGAAAGCGAGGAGAGAGGAAGAGGGGAAGGGGGAATTGGCGAGGGGGAATGATGGTGGCTCTCGGCGTTTGTGAAAACATAAGAGCAAAGGAAGAAGCCAATAACTCACAGAGGGGCTCGCAGGGAGGAGGAAGAAGCAGGTCTTAGCAAGTCCCATGGTTTGGGGAGTGCCTCGCTAAGAACCTTTAAGGAGGCCTTTAGTCCACACGAGTCCCCTTTAGTCCCACTTAACTTAGTCCCATCACCTATCAAACATGGGACTGTAGTCCAGTCCAGTCCAGTCTCTCCTAAAGAGGTGAAACAAACGCCCCCTTTAAGTACTGAATTAACTAGAATTAATTCTTGTAAATTAATCGGCCAACGACATTTTACACTTTGAGATGATTTTTAAATTGAGTAAGGAAGCATCAATTTTCTCACGATGTCTCCTAAAATTTTGAAATTATATCAATTTGCATTTTTTGTATATTTATTCATTAAATTGATGAGATTTTTAGGCTATATAGTGCAAATATAGCTTACATGTCAATCGAGTTACGAGCTACATGATTACCATGTTATCACTTTAATGAACATTTAAATAATTTATTAGATAAAATGTGTAAATGGATACAATTTCAAAACCTAGAAATATGAGAAAATTAAAATCTTGTGGCTTCTATTAAAAATATTCAAAATATGAAATGTGCCAAGTGTAGTTAGCCCTCCCGCAATTTAGGGCAAATCGTTTCAAAAAATCGGTCTGGAGCTAGGTAACTGCCTAGGCGGTCCTAGCTGGCTCCTAGGCGGTTTTTATTTTTTAATTTTTTTTATTAATTGTGTGTTTTTTTTTTTTTGGTTTCATGGTGGTATACTTATGAAAATGGTGTACCTAATTTGCAAATGATGGATTTACTACAAGTTCATCCAATAGTGAAACGAATTAGAGCACTTTTGAGGGGATACATATAAAGGAAAGAAATAAACTAGATACAATAAGGTTAAATAATTTAGTCTATATCCAATCCAATGCAAGGATCATGAACAAGAAGAATTTAGTCTATCATCCAAGAATCATCCTCATTATGATTATATGCTTACTGTTTTTTAAATATTGAACTTTTTTTATGTATATACTTTGTGTATTCTTCTACTTCTATTTTTGCATTTTATCATTCTTTTATTATCCATACAATTAAAGTATAGTTTTTTTTAGGTGTAAATAGACACTTATTTACAAGATATATAATAAATTTACATAAATCCGCCTAGACCGCCTAGGCGCCCGCCTAGCCGTCTATGCTAGACCCCCACCCGCCGCCCGACTAGCGCATAGTATTTTTTAGAACCTTGCTTAGCACACTCTTCCACTCCTTAGTATAGATAATATTATTTGTTTAAAAAAAAAGTAGAAAGTTAGGAGAGGAGGAGGGAAAAGGGAGAGGAAGGGGGTTAGGGTGCGCATTGAGTGGGTTAGTTGAGTTGGATTTCAACCCGTTAGCTAATCTAATAGATTTGGGTTGCTATAATTGAAACAAATTTCCACCCAAAAGAAGGGGCAAGCCTAACTCACCCAAAGCACTCTAAGGCGAGTTATGTTGGGCAAGTTCTACGTGTTGGGATTATTGATATTCGCATTAGTTGGTTTTAATCGTGTTAATAATACTTACAACGCACTTATTAAACGAGCAATCGAGTTTTCACCCAAAGTAAAATGTTAAAATTTACAACTCAACCCAACTAAATTAGCATAGTTTGCTTGTATTATTATTTCGGTCTCGCTTTGTCCCTCCAAAACCCCTTACCGCTTGTGACTTGTAATCAGAAGTGCGTAGCTCTCAGTTGAACCTTCCAAAGGCCTCAATGCAAGGTCTAACATCAATTGAAAGAATTCATTGATTAGGAAGTAAAGTGCTTAAAAATTATATATATATAGTGCCAATCTAACACAAGTTAATAGCGACTAAGAATGACTTATATGAAATATGTACATTGTCATAATTGTGGGACATTATGGGGACGGTATATTCGTTTCACAAAAAAATTTCACTAACAGGCCAACAAGAGATCCTTACAAGGGTGAGCAGACCTTGAAAATTCTCTATATCCTAACTCATCACCTAGGCAATACAGGGTGAGACCACGCTGCAGATTTTCTTTTCTAACCGAAACCACCTGACATTTTTTTTTCTCATGCTTTTCAAATCCATTTAACCCAAATTAAAATACTTCACTCAAATTTCTTCATCCTAACTTCCTTCCTGAATCCCTTCCATGCTACCTCATTAAGACCCTCCCACCAACAAGGAGACAACAACACCACACCAAACTTTTATACCTCGTCCACCAAAAAAAAAAAAAAAAAAAATTCTAAATCTGCCACTATATCCGGTTTAACCATTATAATCGTAGCAAACATTAATATTAACTGAGAGACTACTATTAGCATGGCAGCATACACTCCAAAAAGGAAAATTGGAACATATTTTATATAGATATATATATATATATATATTCAGCATGGTTTTTATCTGAAAAGTTTCCCCAAAATCAAACCATCTACATGACACTAACGCTGACGTAGAAGTTCACAGTTTGACACTGCAAGCATTTGTTTAACCACGGAAATCTCGATACAAGAACAATACCCCCTCTAAACATACTCGTAGATCGCTTCTTTGCTGGTTTAAAAATTGTTCTGTTATTTATGCTCCAAAAATTGGTTGGTTGAGACTTTATTAGTAGATTATTTGTTGGTATAAAACAGTGACAGTCCAAACATTTAGGCCAACCAAAATCTTAGGTCAGGATTGTGCTCCCATACAATCTAAAGAATCCATAAACCCGACAAATAATAAATAAAAACCAAATCAAATAGTTGACATTCAAGATAATTAAAATATGAAAATGTTTGGTACTAATTAATCATCTTCTGAAATTTTGGGAAAAAAATAATCGTTTGAAATATTTAATTTTCTAAGCATAAGATTATTGGAGGCTGACTCTCCTATCAACTCTTTTGAGAGATTCAATAAAAAAAAAAATTTGCGATCTTGAAGGTGACTGCTTTGTCTTTACATGGTCCTAGCTGTAAGATGAGGATTATTAAGATGTTAATTTAAATGGATAACATTAACTAATGTAACCCATTAATTAGTCTGAGAGAAGAAATCGATTATATGATTAGTTAGGTCTCCAGATTTCATTTGACGCTGACTCTTGAGGAATTGACGAATACCTAACCGTGTACATGACCAGAAACGAAGCTATTGCTTCAGCGAATACCATGCCGTTTTGTTTGGAGAGTAATCTGAGGCAATCCATTAAGATTGAAAATAATACATATAGTAGCGTGACATTGGTTTTGCAACAGAGAAAATGCTAGGATCAATCGCTAACACGTGTCAATTACTTCTAACTGTGAATACATTTTGGCCTCCGCATGCATAATGGTCGGGAACAGTCGGTGGACGTGTGCCACTGACCCTAGGAATGCTCTTGCAGCGGAAAATAAAAGTAGAGAGAGAGAGAGAGAGAGAGAGAGAGAAGTTGGCATGCTACTAAGAATTCAAGGACAATGCAGGTGCAAAGGTTAACTGGCAAATGGACAAAATTTTTAGGATTCAGTTCAGTTGGACAAAATTTTGATGTCAGAGCTTGATGACAAGCATTAACACAAGAAGCAAGGCAAGCCCTCTATTTTGGACATGGAAAGGGGAATTGTCCGCAGGTATACCTATTCTCCATTCAGGATGGACTCAGGTTTTCATGTCGAATCCTACGATGAAAGGGTTCGATCTCATCCAAATCCGGAACTGTCATATCTGCAACCGCAATGTATTTCCGAAGGAAAACAGTATGTAGCAGATTTCTTCTAGTCCATAGATCTCAATTTGAACCTTCAGTTCATATATTAGAGCATAATTAAGCTAATACAACAGAACTAGGGCATAGAAACACATTAAACTGAATAACGTCATGTTGGGAAACATTAACATGTTACTTCCTACATTAATCAAGGGCACATTACATAATAATAAACCTATATAAAAGAACCAGAGGAAGAAACTTGCTCTACAATGGCAAATTCTCCGCTTATTACTACTATACGCTCATAATTCCCAAATCCAGAGACTTTGATTTTTCCCCATGGATATTTGTATCTGCAAAACTCATGCGGGATGATGATTTTATGAGACTCTATACATCTCCAGCTCCTTGGTGGTGGTGGTGGTTGTGATTCCCACTTGTTCAACTCTGTCCATCCGATTTCTCATCCTCTTCACCTTCCCTGCTGTCGCCCGACTCGCCTCCAGTTGTGGATCGGCCTTTGGCAAACCCTCCTGCGAGGAGAGGACCCTGTGGAGAACCAGACTGTGCGTTGTTTGCCTTAGTATGCTCTCCACTGTGATCCAAGGGCACGAGTAAGTCATTGCCTTGGCCAGCAGCCGAAGAAGGCGGGAGCTTTCGGATGTGAAGGCGGTATTTCTGCACAGAAATCAGAAAAAAATAT